CTCCCTGGCCACAGCAGAGAGCTGGCCTGGAAGAGGGACAACTGGGACAGAATCCGGCACCCCATCCAGGACTAGAACCCGGTGTGCCGGCGCCGCAAGGCGGAGGATTAGCCTAGTGAGCCGCGGCACCAGCCTGGAAGGTGATTCTTAACGTGTGCTTTATTCATTGCAGTTTCATTTTTTGCCAACTTTGGCCCGGACTTTGCATACATTCGCCTTCATGCCAGCAAGTACCAGGGCCTCATGGTGCAGGCCCTGACCTTGCTGACGGCTCGTAGACGTTCAGAAAGACACACACAACCCCTCGTCCCAGGGCGATTCTTCCTAAGTCGTGTTCCTCCACCACGGGGACCCCGAGAAGTGAAGTCTTCAAAGTCTCCATCTTTTCTGAGCGCTCCCCACTTTCTTTCCTTCCGCATTTCCCTTCCCCTTCGTGTAACGCGCTCTGGAGTGGCTCCCTGGTGGCCGGATACGTTTTAGAAGACGCTGTTTATTTTGAAACACAGCTTTCAGAACACTGAGACGCTTCCAGGAGATTTCACCACTGTTCGCCTCATTTCCCGGGGCTCACTTGTCAACAGAGTTCAACCAGTCTGGATACGGGAAGTTTTCGTAAGAAAGATCTTGTCTGTACCCACTCCTGCCTGATGTCTTTGTTGTACCGGAGCAAAGTCTCGTTTGGCTCTGTTTGCTGGAAAATGGTGACTCCAGTGGCCAAGGCTCCTTGGCCAGTGGGTGCGAGTTTAGCCCATTGTGTGGTGTCCGTGGTGACCTCTCCAGAAGTCTAGGACCTCCTTGCTCCTGCGGAAGTCCTCCACTCACACAAGGCCACCTTGTAACAGCTCAAGGCAAATGGAATTTAAAGATAAATTTATTTTTGCAATTTTTGGAATGCGTACAGTTTTTCATAATACACATTTCCCACAAACTTTCTGAATATCCCGCATATGCATGAATTTCAAAAAACTTTACACCAAAGTCAGCTTTTTTTAAAATGCTTTATTTGTTCATTTTGTGTGTTTGAGAGGCAGACAGACAGGTAAAGAGAAACCCTCCTATCCACTGGTTCAGTCCTCAAATGCCTGCAACAACCATAGCTGGGCCAGGCCAAACCCAGAAGCGGGAACTCAGTGTAGGTCTCCCACGTGGGTGGCAGGGACCCAAGGACTTGGGCCATCACTCGCTGCCTCCAATGAGGTGCGTTAGCAAAAGCTGAAATCAAGACCGGAGCCAGGACTCCAACCCAGATATGGTGAGCAGGTATCCCGAGAGGCGCTTTAACTCCTAGGCCAAACGCCCACCCTAGGCTTCTTTTAGTTCCATTTTCCACAAAGATTTTAAGTCTTCTCCCAGATACACACACGCACACGTGCACACACACACACACACACACTCCCAAGCATTCACGAGAGAGTTCACCAGAACCTCACTGCTCTGTCTGAGCTGTGGATCCCCTCACCTCCCTGTGGTTAACTGAACACTGAGACGGTATCTGTGGGAAGCAGAGTGGGCGTGCTGCGGCCAGGTACTGCTGTCGGCCCTGGGGCAGCTGCACTGGCGCATTAAAGGCCATGCCGGGGAGGGGGGAGCGTCTATCCTAGATCCACACACCTCGCTGAAACTCGCTGGGAGAGGCCACCAAGGAAGTGAATTTGTACCTTTCACTGTCGTTCGTTTACACCTAAGAGCCACGTGCGGCTAGTGATTGCTGTAACGGGCAGTGCAGTTCTGGAGGGCGAGAGAAACAGGGAGGTGGACACGCACTCTCCTTCAACCACAGAATGCATCACCACGATGTTTACCGCTGGGGGGAAAAAAAAAACGCAATGAAGAAAGCACAGCTGGGGGAGGAACTGCAGAGTGGCTGGGAGGGGCCTCCCTGTGGGCGGGTACTGGGGAGCTCTGGGGTGGAGCGTTCTGGCAAGGCCCTGGGAAGGCAGTGACGCTTCTGTGGGAGCAGCTGGCGTGTGGTGAGCAGGAGAGAGGGAGGCGCAGGCCAGAACCTGCGGGGGCCTGCAGGCTGAGGTCAGGGAGTGGAGTGCGCTCCCGTGCGATGCTGGAGACGGCTCCGTGTACGAGGGTGGCGCCCGCTGGTTTTTTTACTTCAACATCCCTCTGATGGCCCCCCCAGGGGGAAATCCAGGCTGGAGATGACAGTGGCTAGATCTGCTCTGCGATGCAGCCGACAGGTTGATGGCATGGGCTGAGCCCAGGAGGCCTCGCTCAGGCCCAAGTGCAGGACAGTGGAGCCGGTGGCGCAATGAACCCTGGAGGGAGGCAGAGCACATGTGTGAGGCGCCATCAGGAGGCTGACAAGCGTGGGAATGGCAGCTGGCAGGGTCAGCTTGGTGTTGTCCACAAAGGACACGGTGACCCTCTGCTCCCTGGGGGCCTGTGACCCCATAACTGGCCCTGAGGGACCCTCCCCCATGTCATCAGATGCCAGTGTGCCCTGGCTTCACAACGCTCACCCCTCCTCCTGTAGCCACCAACAGGCTCTCCCGCACACCTGCTGCACACTGAGACACTCACGTGGCCCAGCTCACTGGTTCCCCAGTCTGAGTGCTGTTATTGTACCCCACCTCCTAATCAGCAGACTGTTCTGTACTCCCAAAGTACCACTTGTTTATTACCATTCAATCAGAATTCTAATAGGATTTTATTTTACAGTTGACTCTGATTTGTGAGAACAGATGATCAAAATCACCAAGAGCTGTATTTGCCAAAGAAGAGTAATGAGGGGGAACGCCATCAGATATTAAAACATACTCAAGGAAAAAAAAAAAAAAGCTTGAATGCTTGAAAGGCAAGGTGTAAGTGCATGGCACAATAGTGAAATCAGATGCCCACACTGGATAAGCCAGAAACAGCCCTGGTAGACGTAAAAGTCCAGTGTTTGGGAACAGGCATTCAGCCTAGCAGTTGAGATGCCCGCATCCTCTATCAGAAGCCCTGGATTCAAGCTCCCGCTCTGGCTCCTGGCTCCAGCGTCCTGCTAGTGTAGAACCTGGGAGGGAGTAGTGATGGTTCAGTGATTAGCTCCTTCTGCACAACTGGGAGACTTGGACTGAGTCCCTGGCCTTGGCCTGGTCCGGCCTCCAGCTGTTTCAAGCATTTGGGGAGCGAACTGGATGGGAACTTTCTCTACCACCTGCCCCCCAATCTGTTCTCTCTCTCTTTCCCACCCTCCTCATCTCTCTCTTTCTCTCTCTCTCGTCTCTGCCTTTCAAAATCAGTTTGTTAAATATTTCTTAATTTGGTTTATGATAAAAGTAGTTTCTCATAGATCAGAAATAAGAGAACACAACTTCAGATCATTGAAATCATTTGGATGGGCCAGCGCTGTGGTGCAGCGGGTTAATGCCCTGGCCTGAAGCGCCAGCATCCAATATGGGTGCCAGTTCGAGATCCTGCTGCTCCACTTCCAATCCAGCTCTCTGCTGTGGCCTGGGAAAGCAGTAGAGGATGGACCAAGTCCTTGGGCCCCTGCACCCACGTGGGAGACCTAGAAGAAGCTCCTGGCTCCTGGCTTCAGATTGACACAGCTCCGGCTGTTGCAGCCCTCTGGGGAGTGAACCAGTGGATGGAAGACCTCTCTCTCTCTCTCCCCCTCCCTCTCTTCTTTTCTCCCTCTCTCCCCCCTCTCTCTGTATAACTCTTTCAAATAAATAAATAAATAAATCTTAAAAATATAATTTAGAGCCCTCAAGAAAAATGGTTAGGAATATATCTTATAGTTTAATTCAAGATGAATCAACACCAGATGAGTCCAACCTAAAAAATAAAGCTAAAAGGACAGGAGTCATGGCACAGCAGGCCAGGCGGCCACTTGGGACTCCCATATCCTGTACTGGAGGGTCAGTTCCAGTCCAGCCTCCTGCTAACACATCCTGGAAGCAGGAGTTTTTGGCCCAGTATTTGCGTTCCCACTACCAACCTGGGAGACCTGGATAGAATTCTGGCCTCCCAGCTTTGGCCTGGCCCAGCCCAGGCTGTTGCAGGCATTTGGGGAATGAACCAGCAGACAGAAGATTCAAGTGACAGCTTAACCCCCTGTGCCACAATCCCTGCCCCACAGCTGTGTTTTAAATCAACATTTTGCTCAATATTTATGAAAGTTCAAGGGAAGTGAAGTAAGTAAAATATTTGGGATGGTAAGGGTTTTTTATGCTGTTCTTTTAAAAGAAATTATTTATTTGAAAAAGCAGAGATACAGAGAGAGATACAAAGATACAGAGAGATACAGATACAGAGAGAGAACGAGAGAGAGATCTTCTATCTGCTGGTTCATTCCCCAAATGGCTGCAACAGCTGGGGCTGTGCCAGGCGGAAGCCAGGAGCCAGGAGCTTCTTCTGGGTCTCCCACATGGGTGCAACATCCCAAGGACTTGGTCCATCTTCTGCTGCTTTTCCCAGGCACATTAGCAGGGAGCTGGATGGAAAGTGGAGCAGCTGGGACTCAAACCGGTGCTCATATGAGATGCCAGCACTGCAGGTGGAGGCTTAACCTTCTACGCCACAGCCCCTGTTCTGCATTTTCTAAAGTGATTTTTTACTTTAATAGTAAGAAGCAAACTGTACGTATCCATTTTCTAACACCCTTATAAGCCCCCACTGCCAGCCACAGGTAAGCACCTTTCCTCAGAGGCATGGAAAATAAAAGCCGCTTGCCAGCCCCGCAGCGTGTCTTCTGCCGGCCCCCCACTTCAAAAGATCTCAGTGCCTATGTTTGTTTTCTGGGTCCCTCTGGCTCTGAAGGTGAAGTGGTGCCCCCGTCTGTGTTTGCTTGCTGTGGGCCTGTTCCCAAATGGTTCCCAGAGAAGGGAAGAGAAGAACATGACCTTGTGTAAGCACGCACTCTCCCACCATCTGTGCCTGGGTACACAGGTGTTTGATTTGGGTGCCGGTTGAGATGGGTCACGGGAACAACTCAGAAAGACGTGCTCTTTCCTTTTGCATCGTGAAGAGACGCTGACCCCGTCTTTGTTCTTGTCCCACAGATATGATGCTGCCTGGTGTGTTTAGTGATTGGTGCAGTTAGGATTTGCTGTGCTGAAATCGTTCTGAAAACTCAAACGGGGGACTCCAGCATTCAAGGGAAGCCAAAGCCATTTGCGGGGGAAGAAAGCCCAAAGCCTTTTATCTTATTTGTTCCAAGGATTTCACTGCCCTCTCCAAAAATAAGCCATCGCACACAGACAGGCAGCATGGCAAGCAAACGAAAATCTACAACTCCATGCATGGTAAGGACATCACAAATGGTGCAGCAGGATGTGCCCGAGGAAGCAGACAGGGCCAAAGAAAAAGGTGCCGGCATAGCACAGCCTGATGTGGCCAAGGACAGTTGGGTACCAGAACCTGAGAACCCTTCCAAAGAAAATGAAGTGATAGAGGTGAAATCTACGGGAGAAACCCAGTCCAAAAAACTCCAAGGTGGTTACGAATGCAAATACTGCCCCTACTCCACGCAAAACCTGAACGAGTTCACGGAGCACGTGGACATGCAGCACCCCAACGTGATTCTCAACCCCCTCTACGTGTGTGCCGAATGTAACTTCACCACCAAAAAGTACGACTCCTTGTCCGACCACAACTCCAAGTTCCACCCCGGGGAGACCAACTTCAAGCTGAAGTTGATCAAGCGCAATAATCAGACTGTGTTGGAGCAGTCCATCGAAACCACCAACCACGTCGTGGCCATCACCACTAGTGGCCCTGGGAGTGGTGACAATGACCCTGGGATCTCGGTGAGTAAAACCCCCATCATGAAGCCAGGAAAACCCAAAGCAGATGCCAAGAAGGTGCCCAAGAAGCCCGAGGAGGCCACCCCCGAGAACCACGTGGAAGGGACCGCCCGCCTGGTGACGGACACGGCTGAGATCCTCTCGAGGCTCGGTGGCGTGGAGCTCCTCCAAGACACATTAGGACACGTCATGCCTTCTGTACAGCTGCCACCAAATATCAACCTTGTCCCCAAGGTCCCCGTCCCGCTGAACACTACCAAATACAACTCTGCCCTGGATACAAACGCCACCATGATCAACTCCTTCAACAAGTTCCCTTACCCGACCCAGGCGGAGTTGTCCTGGCTCACCGCTGCCTCCAAGCACCCAGAAGAGCACATCAGGATCTGGTTTGCCACCCAGCGCTTGAAGCACGGCATCAGCTGGTCCCCAGAGGAGGTGGAGGAGGCCCGGAAGAAGATGTTTAATGGCACCATCCAGTCGGTGCCCCCGACGATCACTGTGCTGCCTGCCCAGCTGGCCCCCACAAAGATGTCCCAGCCCATCCTCCAGACCGCTCTGCCGTGCCAGATCCTCGGCCAGACCAGCCTGGTGCTCACTCAGGTGACCAGCGGCTCCACAACCGTGTCTTGCTCCCCGATCACGCTCGCCGTGGCCGGGGTGACCAACCATGGCCAGAAGAGACCTTTGGTGACTCCCCAAGCTGCCCCCGAGCCCAAGCGTCCACACGTCGCCCAGGTGCCAGAGCCCCCACCCAAGGTGGTCAGCTCCCCGCTCACCTCGGCCAGTGACCGCAAGAAGACGAAGGAACAGATCGCGCACCTCAAGGCCAGCTTTCTCCAGAGCCAGTTCCCCGACGATGCGGAGGTCTACCGGCTCATCGAGGTGACCGGCCTGTCCAGGAGCGAGATCAAGAAGTGGTTCAGTGACCACCGGTATCGGTGTCAGAGGGGCATCGTCCACATCACCAGCGAATCCCTTGCCAAAGACCAGTTGGCCATCGCGGCCTCCCGACACGGTCGCACGTACCACGCCTACCCAGACTTTACCCCCCAGAAGTTCAAAGAGAAAACACAGGGTCAGGTTAAACTCCTGGAAGACAGCTTTTTGAAAAGCTCTTTTCCTACCCAGGCAGAACTGGATCGGCTCAGGGTGGAGACCAAGCTGAGCAGGCGAGAGATCGACTCCTGGTTCTCCGAGAGGCGGAAGCTTCGGGACAGCATGGAGCAAGCCGTCTTGGATTCCATGGGGTCTGGCACCAAAGGTTCAGACGTGGCGTCCCCCAATGGTGCTCTGTCTAGGCTTGACCAGCTCGCTGGGGCCCAGTTAGCCGGCTCTCTGCCCAGCACTTCACCAGCAGTTACACAAAGTCAACAGCAGGTTCATCTCCTGAGGAGCACTTTTGCAAGAACCCAGTGGCCTACTCCCCAGGAGTATGACCAGCTGGCGGCCAAGACTGGCCTGGTCCGAACTGAGATTGTGCGTTGGTTCAAGGAGAACAGATGCTTGCTAAAAACTGGAACCTTAAAGTGGATGGCGCAGTACCAGCCACAGCACGTGGAGGATGATCATGGCTACGATGCTGTGGCCAGGAAGCCAACAAAACCCATTGTCGAGAGCCCAAAGAATGGGAGCGAGACGGCTCAGCAATATTACAAGGACCCCAAAAAGCTCTGCGAAGAGGACTTGGAGAAGTTGGTACCCAGAGTGAAAGTGGGCAGTGAGCCCACAAAAGACTGCCTGCCTGCCAAGCCCTCGGAGGCCGCCCTGGACAGGTCGGAGGGCAGCAGCAGGGATGGCCAGGGTGGCGAGGAGAACGAGGAGTCGGGTGTCGTGGACTATGTGGAGGTGACAGTGGGGGAGGAGGACGCCATCTCAGACAGGTCAGACAGCTGGAGTCACACGGCAGCAGAAGGCGCAGCCGACCTGGCCGACTCCGACTCCGACAGCGTCCCCGCTGAGCCTGGCCAGGCCTAGACAGGTAATCGCACATGTGCCCCCCAGGCCACAGGGGGCAGGCTGGTTTCCTCTCTTCTTACTGCACGGTTGAAATGTGTGTTGGGTACACAGATATTGGCACAGATGATGGGTTCTTTTATCTTTATTTGTTAATTGGCTAATAAATTTACTTTTATAAAAGAAATTATAAATTTATAAAATATTTTAGAAAATTTGTCAGTTGACAAGTAAAAACTGTCAATCTATACTGACAGCGACATTAACATACATTAAATATACCATTGCCATGATATAAAGATTGGATAGCCCTTATCCAAAGTACTTGAATCTTGACATGTTTCAGATTTTGAAATGCAACATCTCAGGGCTGGGACCTAGGACAAAGCATGAAATTCATTTGTGTTTTATAGATACCTATTAATAGCCTATTAATAATCTTGTATGGCATTTTGAATAATTTTGCATCTGATACAAGGTTTCATGGTATGGATTTTCCCACGTGTGGGCCTCTTGACACTGAAAAAAATGTTGGATTTTGGAGTAGTTCAGATTCAGGGGTTCCACGTAGGGAGGCTTCGCCTGTGTTTACCATCACACGTGGTGCTGTGGAATGCGTATACACCGTGGAATGGCTTAGGGGAGCAAACGGGTATGTGTATGACCTCCTATTTCTTATTGTGGAGGAGTTCCTTGTAAAGGTTCTTTGAAAAAGGAAGAAAAGTTGAGGCTTCCCGTGCTCAGGGTGGCAGCCCTGGCGCCTGTGGCCTGTCTGGATCACAGCTTCAGGCTCCTGCCTCCTGCACAGGGCTCGTGTTCCCTGCTCTGAAAAGCAGACGTGACCGACTGGGTCCTTTGCCTGTTTCCTTTTTCCCTTTTCAGATTTTGTTTCAGATCCAGCATCCAGGTTGGCCGAGTGAGTTTACTGAGTCGGGTTCTTTGTCTTTATCACAAAGTCTCGCACAGTGCTTGGCGTTGGCCTTGTCCTGGCTAAAGGAAGATGCCAGTCTGAGTCCCCAGAACCCCTTTAAATCTGGAGCCAGGAGGGCCAGGGAAGGGAGGTTGCCATGGTTACTAATGGCCGTGTCCTCCACTAATGGGATGTGCCACAGAAACCCCTGGTGTTTGTGCTTCCCAGGAGGTCTGTGCAAATCAAGGCCCAAGCAAGCCTCTCACCTGGTGGTGAGGTGGGAAAGGGAGCAGGGTTGGGAGGAGGGGACAGGAAGTGAAGGTCTTCCTTTGCCAGGTTGTCCCCAGGCAGCTTGGGCGAGGAGGGGGAGAGACAAGTTGCCTGGGTGGCCTTGCTTCCGCAGAGGTCACTTAAAAACCAACAGAAGCAGTCCTTTAAAATATTGTAATAAAGGTACGAACCTCCAGAATGGTTCTAAGTGCCCAGAAGGAGCCCTGGAAGCGCCCATGTCTGTGTCAATGCACTGGGACAGCTCTGGCTGGCCGCCTCCCCTACCTGCTTCTCTGTTCAGAAATACGCCATCAGTCCTCTGGCAACCTTGTTTGAGCCTTTCCTGCAGCCATGCAATGAGGGGCCGGCCCCAGGGTGCCACCAGGTCTTCTCCTTCCACCACATGCACCCTGGGGCCATGGGTGAGGACCAGCCCAGAGGAGAGGGAGCTCGTAGGAGCTTGGGATAGCAGGGCGGCTAGGAGATGCAAGGGCATCCATCTGGCTTCCTCCAGCCTCTGGCCATTTTCTTGACTTCTGGGAAGATGCCACCAGTCTGGCCCACGTCTCCCTCATTGAAATGAAGAAGCAAGTCGTTTGTCCACCTGAGTGCTGCTTGCTTGCCCTGTCCTCTGTCCTTGAATCTCTTCTGATCCACAGCGCAGTCTGCTTGGTTGCTTTTTCCTCCAATCCCAATGTAGCCGGCAGGGTACAGTTCCATAGTCAGTAACTTCTGAGCACCTACTGTGTGCCACCCGCCATGCTGGGCTGTAAAGACAGACAGCCAGCAGCGCTGGTTCACACGGAGTTTGATCACGCCATGGACAGAGGAGAGGGTACCTCTGCTCAGAAGCCAGTGTGCCGCATGCATGGTAGAGGAGGACGTGCGTGGCTGTATGGGGAGCCTACAGGAAGGCTACCTGTGCCAGGGACCACAGACAAGGGGCTCCCTGCAGGCAGAGAAGAGAGCAGTTCCAGTGGAAGGAAGGGCAGGGCCAAGGTCCATAGGACAGGCCAGGACTGGTGCAGTTGAGGAACCAAGAGAGGTGTGCCATGGCCAGAAGGTGGAGTCTGGGTTCAGCCACATCTTCTGTAGCAGGCAAAAGCTGTGCGGAGCCAGCTGTGAGTGCTGTGTGACTCTAAGGATGCTAAGCACCCCTGTATCCCCAGGGAGCTGGGGGAGGGGCGGGTTTCTCCAAAGGCAGCAGCTTGCCCAGGCCCCGCTCCGCCTCGTCCAGGTGGGCCGTGGCTCTGCCTGCCACCCTCTGAGGCCCCAGTGGAAGAGAGTTGGAGGAAGGAAAGCGAAACCCATGGAGAGAACCCCTGGGGACAAAGGGAGGCTGGGAGAGAAGAGGGAAGGACCTCCTGGGGAGCGGTGCTCTGGCCAAGCGTGTCTTTCCATAACTCTCCCGGAGAGGTGACACTGTGTCTGTAGCACTCCAGGATGGGGCTGAGAGACAGGGAACCCCCCCTACCTTCGCTCAGCCAGAGTCCTCCCTCCTCCTGCTGCTCTCTCAACCGTTCCATTTCTGCAGCAATTCCTCATTTCTGATTGGACCCACACCCAGGGATTTTTAAATTGGCTTTTGAACTAACATCAGACAATTCAGAGATGGAGGAACCATCAGTCTCCCCTGCAAAAAAAAAAAAAAAAAATGGGAACAACCAGGGACCCCACTTTATATTTATTTGTGATAAATGCCACAAGTGTGCACTGGAATCCGCGCTAAGTTCTGTGCAGCACCCGGCAGCACTGGCAGCACTAATGGCTCCTGATAGCACGGAGGCCAGTGGTATCGAGCACAGGGCTGCAACTGTGCAGGGGCTGGCATCCGAAAGCTCCCCCAAGTCCTGCACAGAAGCACCCCTAAAAGGAGACTCTGACTTAGGTGGAGAGGGAGAATCTCTTCCGATCACTTTAGCTTTTAGGAATGAGGCACATGGGTCTCTTGAAATTCATAAACAGTCGCTGATGGCCCTATTTAAGTGGATAGCTATTTAGGAACCTGCAGTGGAGTTGCACGGCTACACATATGAGGATGAGGATCCAGGGAGATGGAGGAGGGAACGTGGGCAAGCAGCGAAGATCTGACTTCAGGGTTGGGTCTCCTGGCTCCGCAAGGCTCAGGACAGCCGGTGACTCACCTCAGCCCCAGCGTTACCCCAAAGATAGGAATCCTTCCCAGCCTTTGAATGCTGTTGGCTGGATTGGGTCCCTTTGTCCAATTATCCTGTTGAGAGGCCTGACCTAGTAAGAGGCTGAGAACTAAATTCCTCCTTTCCTAAAACTGAGACACCGTAATTGAGCGAGACATTGTCAGACACAAGCCTTGGTGTTCGGCCAAATGAGATGCCCATTACTGCTACTAACAAGAGCTGCATTTATGGCTGGGAGCTATGGGCTTAGCATTCTTCTAAGCATGCCTGTTATGTCATGGAGAAGTGACAGAAACCACGTGAGGTAGATACAGCTTTTTTTTTTTTCCTCCATTTTACAAAGTGCAAAATTGAGGCTCAGAAAAAAATGCAAAATTTGCCCTGAGTTCTTTAGTGGGTAGTGGAGTTGGAGGCCACTTCTCTGCTAGGCCGGTGCCTAACCTCAACCCCTCCAGTGATGGCTCCACTATGGCCTGGGGCCCAACTGTTCCTGACACTTAAAGTCCAAAATGTGTGTGCCCCACATTCTGTTGAGATTAGCTACCCGAATACCAGTAGTTGACTGAATGGATGAATGAACGAAGGAATGCACAAACGAATGAATGAAAATATTTGTGTCATCTGTTTCCTTGTCTCTCCCTCCAACCCCTGAGGCGGGGACCATCTGTCATTCATTTCTGAAGCCCCAGTGTGGGAGTCCCAGCAGGTGATTCATAATGGTTTATTGAAATGACCTGGGCATTAACAAAGATCCTTGACTGTCCATTATCTGGGATCTGGGATTTCAGCCCTTTAGCTTCTCTGTGTTTTCCCACCATTGCTCTTTCACCCCAGTGACTGAGAGAGGTCAGAGGAGAAGGGCTGGGGACAGTTTGCCTCCCGTGTGTGTAAGCAGCTTGAGAGAAAGATGTGTTGGAGTCCGTCCTGAGCAGTGCTTCTCAGGGCCGCCCTTTAGCCTCGCTCCTCTCGTCCCTAATGGGGAGTTCACTCCTACACTTCCAGTTACCTAACTACAGAGCGTCTTGCCCTGGGAGTTCTCAATGTGCTTTGGGAGGCTTGCAGCAACCTAGGAACCGTGAAATCCAAGCCCCTTCATTTTCAGAGGAAAGATTTGGGCCCAAGGAGGTGAAGTACGCAGCCCAGAAACATCCCTAACAAGCGACTTGGTTCCCTCACTCAAGGATTTGTGGATCGCCTGCGGTGTTCCAGGCTCTGGAAGGCACTGGTGCCAAGTGCCCTGCCCCCGTGGAGCCCAGGGTCTAATCAGAACAGTTTTCATCAAGCAAAACAAAAAGTTGGCCGCACTGACAAGTTTTTTGAAGCAAAGGTGCATGCTGCTATTAAACTGTAGACTAGAGAAGTCTGATCAGATTTAAGGTTTGAAGAAGGCAGATAGATGATTTGAAATCCAAAGGGTTAATTAGGCCAACATGTAGGAGCTGACTGGGCAGAAAGGGGAAAGGAGCATTGCAGGCCAAAGAAACAAAAATCCTCAGTGGCCCAGGGCTCAGAGGGAACTGGATGCATTAGCGGAACTAAGAGGTAGCCAGTGTGCTTCACAGACGTGCAGGTGTTAGAAGCCAGATGTTAGGTGGATCCACATAAAATCAAATTTGCCTTTGAAATGCCTTCGTCTCGCCAATAAAGGAGACCATGTGTGGTTCTGTGTGTGTAACCCAGCGGAGAAAG